TCTATTCTCTTCTTGACTTGAGGGTTTGTGTTGAGAGGTCTGCTGTGATTGTGATGGGCTTTCCTTTATATGTGATTTGTTTCTTTTCTCTAACAGCTTTTAATATTCTGTTTTTGTGTTGAATTTCTGGAACCTTGACTATTATATACCTTAGAGTAGATTTATTTTTATCATGGCTAATTGGAGTTCTACATGCATCACTTGTCTGTATGTTAAATTCTTCTCCCTGATTGGGAAGTTTTCTGCCACTACTTTTGTGAACAGGATTTTTATACCATTTGCACTATCTCCCACATGTTCATTGTCTGATTAATTTTATGTTATTCTCCTTTGCATTACCTAGCAACTGTTGGATTGATTTTTCATAGTCTCCTGATATTTTAAAGTAATCCTTCCTTTTATCACTAACTGCATCCTGTCTTTCCTATCTGGTATTCTGTCCTCACATTGGCTCATTCTGCTGAGTATACCATCAATTAAATTTTTACCTTCCTGGATGTCTGTTTGAATCTGTTTCATGGATTCCATTTCTTTCCTATGTTGGGCATTCATGGTTTCCATCATTTTCCTAAGTACTTCTATTTTTGTATCTGTATCTCTCTAGAGTCACTAACCATGTCTTTCATTCTGGTCACCATCTCTCTAGTTATCTAAGAACTTATTTCTGATTTTTTTCTAGAGCCTCATTCCTCTGCTTTGTTACTTCTGCTGTTACCACTTCAGAGTCCAGAGTTGGCTGGCTTTCAAATTGTCCCATTTCATTGGCCCCTCGGTTTGCCTTTGCTTAGCTAGAAGTGTGGGTTTGCATCTTGCTTAAGTATCTTCTCATTTTCTTTTTTTTAATTAAAAATTCTTGGGTTGATTCTTGTAAACTGCTTATGGGAAGTACCTTTATTGCTATTATTTAGAACCCTTAGGAAATGACTACTCAGAGATGTCTTCCAGGTGTAGCTGAGTTCTGGGCTTTGAGTCTGTTGCAAGATCCTACCTCTTCAATTTATTGGGGATGAGAAGTTATTACCTATTTGGCCTAGGTCCTCATTCTTCAACACTGGCCTACAGTACTTTTATGACCCTTAGGCAATCTCAGTCTTGGTATACCAGGAAGAATACCTGATTAGAACAATTATGTCACCTTGGCTAAAGTAGTACAATCAGCAATAATAGTAGCATCAAACACAACACAGAAAATGACAAACCATGGTAACTATTAATTTGCCACCTTTAACTGTGAACTAGATTTGTGATTATACGAAAAAACTAAAACAAACCAGAAAATTGTATACAGAAATATGCCCTCAGTAGGGTGTGATTGTGCACACCTATGGTCCCAGCACTTAGGGGACTGGGGCAGGATGATCATTGTGAGTTCTAGACCAGCCTGGGCTACAAAGTGAGCTCAAAGCCAGCCTGAACTGAATAGTGAGACCCTGTCCAAAAAAGGACAATAAATAGATAAATAAATATGCTCTCAATATGGCCGTTTTACCCTCAGGGTAGAAAATTTAAAAGGGGTTCGGGGAAAATTTAAGAAAGAGAAGAAAAGGAGAGATTAGAAGCAAGGCTGGAGGACAAAGAAAGATTATGCAAACTTTGGGAAACTAAGTGAAGAAAACAGGAGGGAAAGAGAAAAGGAATATAAACAAGATCAGAACAGAACAATAACAAAAAATTAGAAACAAAATTCACATTCATATAAAAACAAGAACAATCAAGAAAAAAGAAAACAAAACAAAATCAAAAACAAGAAAAGAGGAAAAAAAAGAGAAAATCAGAAAAAACAATGTCCACTTCAAGGCATGTCTCTGCTGTCACTGGTAGACAAAATGGGCAGTCCAGAACCAGGTTGCTCAATTCCAGTAAGCCAGCTATAGATTTACAGTGGGGTAGTGGATAATTCCAGCAAGCCTGCACCTTTAGTTCCACCGAAGTTCAGGCCATTTTCTGGCTGGGAGGCTGGAACCCAATCTGTTCAGCCTGCAACACTCCATGTGCCTCCTGCTGGCTTAAACTCAGGTGTACCTCACCCTGACACTTGGAGCCACTAAATGGAGCCAGCTCATAGCTACTCTGAGTTCTGAGGTCAATTGTCATCTCTCCCAGATGGCTACTGGCCAGTTGCCTTTTCCTGGGGGAATAACTCACCAGCCACAGCAGTCCACTGTGTTCACTGCTCCGTTCCACTGGGACGTTTCTCCACAAAGGCCTCTGGGATCACCAGTAGTCACATGCATCTGCAGGTTCAAGCCATCCCTTCCATGCAATAAGTCAGGGCTCAGGGAGAAAGTGCCACTTGCCACCTTCATCTTCTTCATTGAAGTCTCTCTCTTCACTGTCCCTATGAAGATAAATTCTCTTCAGATCCTTGTTGGGTCCTGGTGACCACTTCCTCCTTCTCTTCCTCACATTGCTATATTCCAGTGTCTGGACAGCAAATCTTGGAGAGGCTCTTTCTCTGATGTTCACCACTCCATCATCCTCCCAGAAGTCCAGTATTTTCTTTTTCTTCTTTTTTTTTTGTTTAGAAACTTGCACCCTGTTTTCTATTATAACTATACTAATTTACATTTATAGCAGTAGTGTGTTAGAGCTCCCTTTTCTCCACATCTCATTGTTATGGTTTCAACCTAAAATATCCCTCAGAAGTCTGTGTTCAGAATTGGGGCTTTTGGGAAGGTGATTGGATCTTGGGGATACTAAATTCACCAGTGGATTAATCTATTGATGAGTTCATAGCTGAATGCACTGTTAGAATGTGGGATCCAGCCAGAGGAGGTGGATCACTGGGAGTGTACCTTAGGAAGGTGTCTTTTCCTCTCTGGCTCTTCCTCTCTTAGTACTTCTTGATTGCCATGGGTTGAGCAGCATTCCTCTACCAAGCTCTTCTACTATGCCTTTTCTGCCTTGGATGCAGGTGACCAGGGAGTGAATGTACTGAAACTGTGAGCCAAAAATGAACCCCTCCTCCTTAAATTGTAGGTGTTAGGTATTTTGTCCCAGCAATGGAAAAGCTAACTAATACAGCAACTTTACTCTTTTCAGGAACAGTCATTTGGCTAGCATGATATAATATTTTATCGTGATTTTGATTTGCATATCCCAAATGACTAGTGATGTTGAACATTTTCTCACATACTTGTTAGATCCCCCCTTCTCTCTCTTTTTCTCTCTATCTCTCTCTCACTCAGAGTCTCACTACATAATCTAGGCTTTTCTCAAACTCACAGTGGGAAAAAGAGGAGTGCAGCTCACTGGAGAGTACATCTTAAAACACACTTACTTCTCAGCTCCAACCAATTGTAAGGCAGAAGGCCCATTTTTAAATGTTGACAACTACTTAACTTAAATATATACATACACTCATACAAGACTACTGAAAACCAATAGGAACACACCTGCAGGTTCACAGCAGCCCATGAGTACCAGTTTGTGCCCTGTAAGTCCAGCAGAGGAAATGATAGTTTGCCATGCTTTTCAGTGGCTGATTCATACCAAGGGCACAGAAACTACTGGGACACATATGAGCTGGGGCTAGTGCACAGGCAAACATGCAGGTAGCATAGGAAAATACTATGAATAGTCCAATTCCACTTCATCAGTAGTTACAAATAGTCTCCTGTATGACAGACCCAGTGCTATATGACAAAATATGAAGGAAATAAGACAGTCACAGCTCCCCTCATGAGGACCCTACTGTCTTAGGGATAAGTTACAGGGACTGGGAATAATTTCCCCAAGAAGCCTTATAGAGAACAAATTGTAATAATAATGATAATATGTACTGAGCATTTATTCTGGGTCAGCACTATACTCAGTGTTTTACCTGCCATTAGGTACTTAATTCTTGCCATGCTCTGAGGCAGGTGCTGTAATTATTTGTTTTGTGTAATGAAACTGAGGCTCAGGAAGGTTGAGTAAATCAACCACAACATCATGCAGTGATTCTCTGTGGTCCAGGACCAGACAAGCTATCCAATGAAAGAATATACTTAAAAGGGCTAATATCATAGTAGCTGGCACTATAAATAGGTTTTGAGTAAACGTTTCTTTCCTAGTCTCTAGAGTCATTCAAGAATAAGCTGTATGATCACTTATTACGGGTGCTAGAGAGGGAAGCAAGTATCAGGTGGGTAGAAACACTGTGTATCTATCTAACCTTGCAATAATTCTTTCCCTTCTTGGCAGTAATATTATAAGGTAATTATCAACCACTTCTGAACTCCCATACCCTGACAATGGCAACATGGATGGGAAACTAAGGATATGAGCCAACTTATGGGTGGGCAAAACATTAATTAACTAATATTGATTGTCTATGACACAGAAAGCATACTGTTCTAAGCTAAGTCAATGTGTACAGCAGGAAAGGGGAATGAGAAAGGCTTCACATCTGAGATTTGGCCCTGGCTTTGGCATTAATTTACTGTATAACCTTGGTTTTCATCCCTATAAGTAGGGGGTAGAAATATTTCCTTTAGTGTCATTTCAGCTTGAATTGATATAAATTATTTGCACTCAGTCAGTTCTCAGATGTGAGAGGACTCATTTTTCTTCCTAGAAGCCAGGGAGGTCACAGAACCCTGGGAATTCAAAAGGACTTTACACTAATCAGTCTACGGCTACCCACGTGTGACCAATGAACATTTATAAAATGTGGCTGGTCCAGCTGGATGTGATGGCACACATCTATAATCCCAGCACTCAGAAGGCTGAGGCAGGAGAATTGCCAGAAGTTTGAGGCCAGCCTTGGATACATAGTGAGTTCAAGGCCAGTCCACAGTACTTGTGTGACCCTGTCTCAAAAAAAAAGTGGCTAGTCCAAAATAAGGTGTGCTAAAATACACACAAGATTTTGAAGACTTAGTATGAAAAACTGTAAAATACTTTATTAGTATGCTTGTATTGCTTCATATTTTTAATGCATTTAAAGAGAAATATATTTAAACTAACATCACTCTTTTTAAAAAAATGTTTCAATGTGGCTCCCATTATATTTGCAGGGGATGACACCACTTGAAGGTGAAAGTGAAGCCCAGGAAGCAAATGACCTTTCCACAGAACCAAGACTGGAAACAGGGTCCCTTGACTCCTCATTGTGAAGGCTCCTTCCACTCTTAATGGGCTCTGGGAGCCAGTCTCCAAAATGGCCCCTAAAGATCTTACCCCTTACAGTTCCTGTGATGGCCCTTGTACACTAAAATAGGGCTCATCTATTGAGAGACTGTAGAAAATATCCATGTGACTTCTAAGCCTGGGTCATAAAAAACATGGTGACCCCTACCTTGCGTCTCTCTGACAAAACTTGCGCTGAGGAAGCCAGGTGACCTGTCACAAGAACATGCCAGGAGCCCTATGGATGGTCCACAAAGTGAGGAACGAAGGCCTCCTGTCAACAATCAGAACCAACCAGACAATTGAGTGGATTATCTCTAATGCTGTACTCCACCCCCAGCTGACATCTTTATTGCAAGCTGAGGCAGAGACTTCAGCCTAGAGACACCTAGTTAAGCTCCTGACCAATAAAGAAAGATAATAAATATTATTGTTGTTTTATGTAGACGTAGGTAGCTAGTACACAGTCTTTCAAATGGAAGGATCACATGTAAGGAAAAACTTCTCTGTTCAGCATTTGTGCAATGTAAGAAACTATTTGTTTTTCCTATAGCCTGTGGCTTAACTCAGGGTGCTCTAACCAAAACCAGATAAATTACCAGATCTGGAGACTCCAACACAGGACAACAGGACCTCATTTTATTTTTTTCAAGAGGCTTTTCCCTTTATTGCACAAAGGGCCTACATAAGTCTCCTGCGAATTACCTGGGCCATCCAAAGATTTGATTCCCACTAGAAAAAAAAAAAAAAGATTTTTTGTTTGAGATAGTCTCACTTTGTAGTGCAGGCTGGCCTTGAACTCACGGCAATCCTCATGCCTCAGCCTCCTGAGTGCTTTTCAAGAAATTAAAAAAAAATAGAGACCAGAATTGCTCAACTAGGTACAATATTGGGAAAGTAACAAATAATTGAGAAATGACAGTCTATGATAGCTGCATTTCTCTATGCTGAAACACTGTAAACAATCCTTCTGTTTTATACAGCATGTGTTGCTTTTCACAGTAAGTTCATATACAGTACCTCTGAGGTAGATTGGGGTAATACCAACATACCTAAGGAAGCCATGTGTCAGAGCTCATGATTTGCCTTGGTATCATGGTCATAGAATGACATGCTAGCTCTAGAATTGAGGTTCTGGAGACTGAAGTCAGATTAGGTGCTGTCCAGTACAGAACCATCCTAGCTGTGTGAATGCCTTTACTTGAGGCTGTCCTCCAAGATCAATGTGCACTTGTAGATTTCCTTAAAGGCCACAAGGAAATGTGGCATTACTTCATCCACAGTAACATGCCTCTGGAGCTCCTTACTCAGGGAAGTGACCCCCGTCCCAACCAGTCCACAGGGTACAATGTGCTCAAACCATGTGAGATCCGTGCAGCAGTTCAGAGCCAGGCCATGGGATGTGATGTGCCTTCCACAGCGGACTCCTGCAAGACAAGCCAAAGGGTCTTACAATAGATATCCTCTACCCTTCCCCAACCCCCCAGGCTTCAGGCTTCTCTCGGTGCAATGAGGCAGCTGGGCCAGACTGCTGCTTTTCAGTATTTCTTTCTACAACATGGACTGTGCATAGAATGACAGAAGCCAAACTGGAGATGGGGTTGGGGGTGTGTGGTTCTGCATCGGTTGCCCTTAATATGAGGATTTCTTAAACACAACGACTCTTTCGTTTTCCAAGCACCCTGTTTTACCATAGAAAGTAGCTCTAAGTCAATTACAGTATTTCCACCCGGGACAGTGAGTGTAACTCAATAACTTCTGAAGAACCGTCTGCCTCCCTTCCAACCATAAGGTATTATCTGGGGAACATGCTAAACTCTTAAACGCAACGGTTAGCGCTGACTCAAAGCCGGCGCTTGCTCCACCCTCGCCTCCATCGGCCCGCCCCGGGCCCCGCCCCGCGGTGCTCACCGATCGCACAGATCTTGCACTCGCCCTGCCAGACGCCGGTATAGGGCGGGGGCCGCGCGCGCACGCCCCGCAGGCCTAGGAGCTCGCACAGGCGCACCGCGCACGCCTCCAGCGCCGCCACGTGGGTGCGCAGGCGCAGGCCGAGGTGCCGCAAGTCGAGCACGGGGTGACAGAGCAGCTGGCCCGGGCCATGGAAAGTGGCCAGGCCGCCTCGGCCTGTGGCGCGCACCTCTGCGCCCAAGGCCCGTAGCCGTGCAGTGTCTTCGGGCGTCAGGCCGCCGCGCAGCCCAGCTGTGTACACGGGTCCCGCGGGTTCGCAGAGCAGGAGCGCGCCTGCCTCGGTCCCCAGCGAGGCCTCAGTTCCAGGTTCGGCCTGCATCCGCCGCAGCCAGCGCTCCTGCAGCGCCAGCAGTTCGGCGTACTGGAGCCGTCCCAGCCAAAGCAGCCGGACCGCAGGTCTTGGCATTGCGCGGGTTGCGGCGTCCTTGGGCCCCGCCCCATCCCTGGGGCTGGGGGCGGGGACTCAGGGTTACGCCCCGAACCTCTGCTCACCAATCTTGGTAGAAGCTCTTGCGAGACGGTGTGATACCAAGAACCAGCACAGGCTAGGGATGTGGCTGAGTGGTAGAGCGCTTCTCTGGCACACATAAGGCCCTGAGTTTGATTCACAGCACCACCAAGACCTAGTGCAAAGTTGGCGTCGCCCAGGTGTTCAACAGCCAGTTTAGTTTGTGCTGTGTTCTGTAGGCCCAATGCTAGACTTAAGATTAGTACAGTATATAATGGAATAGTACAGTAGATGAAGGGTTAAAAATATGCCCTGGTGAGCTTACATTTTACAGAAACGGAGGAAGTACTCCAGACCAACGTGTGTAAGTGTGTGATAGAAGCAGGATTAGTTGAAGGAAGAAATTGAACAGTTAAATAAGAGGCTTTAGCCGGATCAAAGGAGTGCTCTGAGCCCAACCCATGAGGGCAGAAGTTTATATCCTTGCATGATTAGATTAATATTTACAGACTACATATACCTGGGAAGGCACAGTAACTTTTGGCACGGCTGGTTCCTTTTCAGTGGAGGGCAGGTCCTGGAGTGAGTGGAACTAGTTCAGGTGCGAGTCAGCAACCCGCTCCCAGAAGTGGGAATGAGTGGCTAGGTCCTCAAAGGAGAGCTGGACCTCAGCATATGCTGTGTGGCACTTGGAGTATCATATAAGTAAAAAAATTTTTTTTTAAAGGAAGAGGTACTGTTCTTGAATATTTTGCTAAATCCTTGAAAAACTTGTTGCTGCAGGTGCGGTGCCTAATGGATACAAGAGCTCTGTGAGTGATGAGGCCACTAACTGAGATAAGGAACCAGGGAGGATGTAATCTCTCCCTTTGCGCTCCCTCTAGACGGGAAAGCAGCCTCTGCACAGAAGGTGTGGCTAGAACCAGTGTGTAAGTTGTGGAGTTGAAGGAGCATAGATGCTCAAACAGAAATATTAGCTAATCCTCCTCCAGTTGGGAAATAGACCCAGGGGTGGGTGGGACACGAAGTGAAGAGAGGGAAAATGGAATAAAACCAGAATGATGCTTGAGGCCAAGAAATCCGGAAACTAGCATGGACAAATGTAAATAGACAGTGTAGATTTTGGGCCGGGGACATAGCTCAGTAGCATAAGCACCTGACTGGCAAGTGGAAGGTCCTGAGTTCGATTCCTGGTTAAAAACAACAACAACAACCCAGTGTAGGTTTCAGAGAAGATCACAAGTCATTATGAGTCACTAATGGCAGTGCTGTGATTAGTAAACAAAACAAAGACATAGCATTTAGATAGCCCTGGGCTCTGAGGGGAACCCGTTAGATTTTATGAGGTCCTGTCCCAGGGCACCTAAGGCTATAAATATGTCTGAGGTGGGAAAAATAACTCAAATGACTTTGTTCCTATAAAAGATGGTTTCAGTGCTCCAGCCTGGGATTTGTTTTGATGTGAAGCAGGAGTCTTATGCAGTGAGTCCTGGCATCTAGGTTCACATTCTGTCTTTATCACTATTTATTTGAAAATAGGAGCTCCTTTGGGGTAGATAATATTTTATTCCTGGATCCCCATCTAGCATAAGTCCCAGCACCCAGTAAATTCTTCAGAAGGAGCAAACAATTTGTTAAATAATTTGCTATATGTCCTCAACTGAGGCTTTTTACCAAGGGTCTCACAAGAAGGAAACATGGGATCAAAGTGGCCTACAGGTGCCTAATGATCCCAAGTTTTCAGGATGTGAAGACTGATATTTGCCTCTATAATGCTAAGAAGTGTTTGATCTGTTGCACAGTGAATCAAATCTAAACAAATTACAATGCTCAGCTCAAGAGACTGGTTTCTCCACTTGGCCTCCCCTCCCCCTTCCCTCAAGAAATTGTACCTCTGCTGACTACTCTGCCTTGGTTATTTTGAGTTGGGACAAAAGTAAGTGCTCTTATTGTCATTTCATGGATAATGCCAAGGCCCACACAGTAAACTGCTTACCATTGGAGTACCAGAAAGTAGCAGGGAAAAGATTCAAATCTGAGTGATCAGGCTCCAGAGTCCCTCAACTTAATCAAGACCCTCTCTTTTTGATTTTTAAATACCCCATAACACACATCCCATGGTTCAGCACATAGTAGTCATGCAGTAAATGTTTTCTGGATAAATGAATGACTGCAGTAATCTAGGAAGTTGATATTGGAATGACATAGAATTCTCCTAAGTGCCTATGAACCTGTTGACTTCAGCCTTTCCTCTAATGTATAGGGATAGTGTGTTGCTCCATCCATCCAATGAGTATTTACTCTCCTACCTCACTGTCCCTTAACCCACAGTGGGTGCCAGGGATAAAAACAGAAATCTGACTTTGAAGCTGCCAATTTGGGGTACAAACATGTCTATAGACAATACAGTACAGCATGTAGGGCAATTTGGTACAGTGCAGTACAGCGTGCAGTAGAGTACATAGAAGAGGGAGACACTAATTCTGCCCAGCGAGGGTGAGACACATTTCTTATCCTGTAGGACAGATCATTTTGGTGTCATGCTTGATCTTAGCCCATGCAGTCAGAGATGGAACAATCTGTGCTTGTAGCTGCTGCCTGCAGTCCTTCCCTAGGGATTCATACTTCTGTCCATGGTTTGAATCCTGGTATTCTTGCTGGATACTATGTCCCTAGATTGAGCCGCTTCCATTCTATTTGGGCCCTGATTCTGACAGTTGATTCTGCCCCTTCACAACTGCCCTGGGCCTGGAGTAAAATAAACCTGGGAACTTGGCTTCTTGACCTGCAGTATCATTGGTTCTATCCCTAGTTGCTAAAGAGATACAAGTCACACTACACAAGGCCTCAGACCAGAGCAATCACAATGTGCAGATTCTGTCAACACTGGCCTACTCTCTGAAACTGTCCACATTCTTGCCCATCCCTGCCCAGGACAGGCGAGGGACTTAACCAAAGGGCATACAGTAGAAGAGAATGAGAACTCAGGACTCCTGACCTCCAGTCTACTGTTCTTTCCATTACAGGATTAAGTCTGAAGTCTTGAACAAATCTTATTATATGTAGCAGAATGGCTCTGTTTGAAGTGTAGGGCACCCAAAGATCACTTTCTTTGCTTCCTTCTAGCCCTATCTCAGCCTTTAAATCAATTCTATTCAATCTATATATATTTTTCTTTATTGGGGATTAACAGGGCCTTGCTGGAGGGAGGCATAGAAAAAGGAAGTTGTTTAATGAGTATGACTTCCAGAAAACATTTACTGCATGACTACTATGTGCTTAAAAAGTTAAGGTGACAAAGTTCCTGAGATTGCACACCAGTATAAATATGCTTAACACTACAGAAGAACACACTTTATAGTACTCTCCTGAGCTAAGTCCCTGGCCTTTTAAAAATGTTTTATTTTGAGACAGGGTCTTGCTAAGTTATCCAGGATGGACTTGAACTTGGGATCCTCCTGCCTCAGCCTCCTAGAGAACTAGGATAACAGGCATGCACCACCCTACCGAGGATGTTGTTTATTTTGTTACAATTAAAGTCAGTGGTTGCCAGGAGTTGGGGGTAGTTGAAGAAAAGGGATGACAAGGAGAACATAAGATTCTTAGGTCAGTAAAATTATGCTATAACGATGGTGCAAATATACATGACACATATGGCAAAACCATAGAACTATACAACACAAGGATAGGCCCTAAAGTAAACTATGGATTTTTGTGTTGGGGACCACAAATTCACAATGGCTAATTCTGCATACTTCCCTAAGGGATAAATGGAGGCTTGGAATTATCGGTATCACCCTTTTGAGATTTTCCATTAACTCTTTAGGGAATGGGCCATCCTCTCCCTAAGACTGAATTAAGACCACTAAGATTAAAAAACACCCCAGGGCAAGATGCTCCTTAGCATAAGATCATCTCCATCTTCTTGAGTCATCCCAAGATTATCTGTTGCCCGCTGAGTCACTGACCTCTGAGTTTTCCACTGACCTTGAATCTTCTGCTGTACACTCAATAAACAGTGGCTGGCGTGGAGTGTCTTTGTCTCTGCCCATCCCATCCTGAGGCATTGACCTCCCAGCCTCCCTTCATGAGTTACTAAATTTGTCTCTGTTTTTTATTTCATCCTTTTGCTGTACCTCACATACAGGCAGTTGGGGACCTTGGCCAGGTCCCTGATACTTTTGTTAATAAGTCATATTGGTATTTGTTCATTAATTATAGCAGATGTATCACACCAGAATAAGATGCTTAGGATTAAAAAAAAAATGGTAAAGATAAAGGAAACTGAGGGTTAAAGGAGGGCAAAAGCAAAAAGGGAACTATGAACTCCCTGTACTTTCTGCTTAATTTTTCTGTAAACCTGCTGCTCTAAAAATGGCTATGGATAAAATTTTTAAAATTTTTTTTTGTGAGATGGTCTTGCTATGTAATTCAGGCTGGTCTTGAACTCTAGCAATCCTCCTGCCTCAGAATACACATAAACACTACCATATATATATATATTTTTTTGCACTGACATGAATTCATCCAGAATAGGTTGGATAATTCTTTCTCTTCCTTTTTTTTTTTTTTTTTTTGGTGATGGTGCTAAGATCAAACCCAGGGCCTTGTATATGCTTAGCTCATGGTCTACTTCTGATCTACACTCCCAGCCCTTCTTTTCAAATTATGGGTTTGAAGTACTAGAGTAGAGTTCTCACCCTGTAGTCTACATAAGAGTCATCCTAAATCCTGTTTTTTATCATTACTCTCAACAATGAAAGTTGGTCCAGTGAGATTTTAAACCCAGCACAGGCGGCAGCTGTCTCGCCCCACCTTGTTCCCCTACTTCTTTCACCTCCCACACTGCAGCCAGAGATCTTTCAAAACCCCAGGACTGTCTGTACCACAGTTTTAAAACATCTATTTGTCCAACAATATTAAGTGTTTTCACTGTGCAGGATGCTGTAGTAGGCGCTAGAAGTACAGTGAATATAATAGTCCTTTCCAGAATATAATAGTCCAATCAAGTTCCTCATTAAACAAGGTATTGTGATGATAATAGAATAGGGGAGTAATGGGAGACAATGTCGACAGAGAGGCCTCTCTGAGGTGGCTGGAGGACAAGCCATTGTCAGCCTGGAGAACATTCTAGGAGAAAGAAGAACCTCTGTGAAGGCTAAGAGTGGTGGATTGAAGAAAACAAGAGAAGACTGGTGAGGCTGGTCTGAAGTGAGGCCAGAGAGTTATACAGAGGCCAGATCATGGAGAGCCGGGAAGGTCACTTTAAGGTAATTGGTCTTTATCTGTAGGGCAATGGGAACGCCGTGGAGTGATTTTAAGGAAGAGAGTAATGATATGCTATTTACAAGTTAAGATCATGCTGACTGCTTTCTGGCAAACTGGCTGGTGGAAGGCAGGAGTAGAAGCGGAAAGGCCAATCAGGAAGATGTGGTTGTAGTGCAAGTGAGGAAAGATGGCTGCCTGGGCTGGGGGAGGGTGGTAGTGGAGATGGAGAGAGAAGAGAAACTCAAACTATATATTGGAAGTAGAAGCCACAGGACCAGCTTGTGGGTGGGTTATAGGACTTGGGAAAAGGGAGGAATCAAAGAAGCAATACCATCCATGACTTTGCACAAGAGAGCATCCTTCTTTAGGTCCTGTGCCTTAGAGGCCTCAACATACTCTCTCTCTCTCTCTCTCTGACACTCAGGAGCTGGTACTCAGCACTGGCACTGTGTGTCCTATCCACTTAACATTCCTCCTACCTAACCCCATTCAGACCCCAGGTAACACTTCTATATCTTGCCCCAAGTACACAAAACACACTGAATACACATATAATAAAATGAATATATATGTAAGTGCCTAGTCTGAGCACCTTGCACAGATATATATATATCTGTTGAACCACTACTCTCTCAAGCATGGACATAGACATTTCCATGCCTTGACTGACGTTCGGTGGGTTGTCTGCTGCCCACATAAGAAATGATCACTGATCTAGAGTATGGGAAGCATGTGAGTGGCAAGAGCTTTTGGGTAAGAGACAAAGCACATCAACTAACGTCCTGTGGGATCTTTTCTTTCAGACAGTGTGAGTGCATCATGAGGTAACATTTCCCAGAATAGCAGAATCTGTTTTCTTCCTTCCTTTTGTGTTTTACTCTATGGTTTGGGAGGAAATCAGGAATTGCCTGGTATCTGCATGGGAACTAATAAATATTTTGCAACATTAAATAATTCTTACTATTCTTACACTTATTTATATGAAAGTTGTAGCATGTGTGAAGCTGATTATAAACTTAGCTATTGCTTTAAAGAATGATGACAACTACAAGTGGAACTGACTTATATGATGGAATAAAACATAATTTTAATGTGTTTATAATTTTAATAAATTTGTTTTAATATATAAATACAATAATTACATATTATATTATTTGTTCCTATAATATTTGACCACGGTTCTGCATTTCCTTCTTCCCTTCTGGATTTCTCTCCACCTGGGTTCCAAGGCCACAGCCAAGAGACGTGGTTGGACAGCAGGCAGGGTGTTGAGAGAGGAAGTGATTAAATGTTGAATGAGGGTCTAGCAGTTGTGAGGTCAAAGCCAGGGCCCCCTGGGAAGGCCAGGCATGAGGATGCTGGCTGCCTCCCTGCCTGGAAGGAAGAAGGATGTCCGGGGGTTAGGGATGACACTAGTGTTTTTGGCCATGGGAGAGAAGTAAAATGTCTAAAATAAGGAGGAAGAGGGGTGGGAGTTGCAGGATGTCCATGTTGGCCTGTTGCAAAAATAAATGCACCTGGAAATAAATACGTACATAAATAAATGAGTACAGAGTAAAAAGAAAAAAACAGCTCTACCTTCTTGCTCTACCTTACCAAGGATGAGTGTAGCATTATAAGCTGAGGAGGGAAACAAAGAGTTTTTAAAAGTCCAGCAGCTCTGGGGAAATTACAAACGACTCCTGATGCTATCTTTGTTTCTTTTTCAGTATGAAAAATACCTTGCCTGACATGGGCACCCTGCCACCATTGGAAGAACCGTGAGAATCCAGTTTGTTCTCAGAACACTGCCATGAAGGAGGTGAGGTCACATGGAACATTGCTTTCCTCCGTGGCAGCCCTGACTGAAACCATAGAAAAGAATAAATAATACCTAGACAGTGTCTTGGAAGAAACACTAAAGTGGTTATCAGGGCACAAGGCTCCCGGTCTAGTATGCTTATATCCGAGCTGGGTGCCCTAAAGTAAGTCATTTTTCCTCTGCCCTTTAGCTGTTTCATATGCAAAATGAGGGACAGGCACCAAAAGACCCAAGGGTGCTTCTGTGTCTAGGGATAAATGTTCTTTCTAAACCCTTGCAGGGACAAAAATGGGAGCTAGGGAGAGGAAAAAAAAAGCTGAGCTGGATGATGGGACTGAATATCCCAGCACTGAAAGAGAATCTGAGAGCTCAATGCTCATTCATTCGTTCATTCTCTCTCTCTTTTTTTTTTTTTTTCTCCGTACTGGGAATCAAACTCACGACCTCGTGCTTGTCAGGCAGGTGCTGTGCCGCTGACCTAAATCCCCAGCCCCTCATTCATTCTGTTTATTTAGTACTGTATTGTAGGGAAAGGAGTCTGTGGGCAGGGAAAGATTAGAATTAGGGCCTCATTAGGTTTTCAGGCTAAACCTGACTAGGAGTTAAAACTTTACTAGAGGAATTCTTCTGGGAGCAGTTAAAAGGACAGGGGTAGAGAAGAAAAACAGAGATAGAAAGGCACCAGATAGCACAAATGGCATAAAAACTCACATCAAAGACCAGAGGGCTGAGCAGGGGAAAGACAGGTGCACAAAAACTCAGATAGCCACGCCTCCCCACCTTCAGTGTGGCCTGGAACTCATCCAAGACCGCCCAGACAGCCAATCAGGTTGTGACAAGTTCCAGGTACCCACCACAGGCCAGAAAAAGGCTTCCTGATAAAGAATCTACTCAGTAAGCTGACAATTACTGGTAGTTAAAAGAGTAAAGAGCAGACAGGAGATGCACAGATGTTGCTGGGTGACTCAGTCATTCCATCCCAAGGCACCAAGGTCCTGCTTTGGAAATGATTAGGCCAGACTTTCTCCAATCCAAATCTATAGACCCCTCTCAGAGTTAATATATTTTTACATGCTTGGCACTTGTCTACGGAAATTTTTAAATGGTCTATTACATTTTGGTGATATAGTGGGAGCTGCCTGTAGTACACAGAGCTCTGGGCAAACCAAGTCTCCAAAGAACTTGTGCCAGAGAAATAGGTACCACACTCAGGTTGCAAATAACAGTTTACTTTCAGCAAAATGACAACTTCCTCCATATTAAATTGAAATGTTTATTTACATTTTGTAGGGTTAGCAGTTTGATTATTTCCCATTTGTCTTGCTTTAGAGTTTTTGAACATCCATAAACACAGAGAACTTATACTGAATTACTTGCTTATAAACATGGAAGTGGTATTCAAATAAAAATAATTTAACTTTGGGGTGGGTCTATAAGCATTTTAAACAGAAGCTCATCCATCACTTGTGTTTGAGAAACATTCTGTTAGCTGTTTGCTGAGCAATCCTCATTGTTCAAAACTTCTTGCATGAGTTGAACTGAAGTCTTTCCTACTGCCACCTTGGGTCAAAATGACCTCCAAAGAGATGAATCATAACCTATTATCACATAGTTCCAAAAAAGGTGTACATCCTCCAGGGACAAAGACAGCTGATAGGTACTTTACTGCTTTTCAATAGGGATGCTGCTACCGCCATGTGGTTGATACTTTATTAGGGTTTACTAAACAGTTTAGGTAAAGTCCTTCATCTCTCCAAGCTCCAGCTTCCTACTCTGTAAGAAAGTTGTACCAGTGGGCTCAGTGGTACACACCTGTAATTCTAGCACTCAGGAGGCTGAGGCAGGAGGATCGCTATAAGTTCAAGGCCAGGGTGGGGTATATAGTGAGTTCAAGGCCATCCTGAACTACATAGCAAGACTCTATCTCAAAACAACAAAAAAAATCCATTCCAATGATACCTTACCCCTCAGGATTGTTGTTAGGATTAATTGGGCAAGTACTTGGAAAACGATAAGAGATCTAACAGCCACCATTAGTGTTAGGCTCATTTCCTACTTTATCTCATTTAATCCTCCCAACAAGTCTGCACAGAGATGGTTTAACTCAATTTTATAGCTCAACAAACAGGCACAGAGAAGTGAAGGGAATTTGATAAAATAGCTGAACTGGGTTTCAGACCTAACTCTGAGATGTGCAAATTGCCTTTGCTATGACAACTGCACATACATGACCCCAACTCTGTATCTCCACCTGTGGAAGTCCTGCTTGCCTTTTAAAATTCTTACCAGCATTATACTCTCTTCCCGTGCTGATTCATACTTTTTGCCTGGCTTCATGGGTTGCAGAAATTTCATCTAGCTTTGCATCATTCAGGGTGGGAATGGTGCAGAGTATTGGCTGTCTAGGAACAATTGATGTTCCCTGGCACTGAACTCCCACCCAGTGAAGTCACCCACTTCTAGAACCTCTTCCCAGAAAACCTCCACCACTCCTTTTCCTTGGCTGGGTCCCCAGGGGCCCACTTAGGTGTTTGTTACATTGAATAGAACTGAATAGAGCCAGGAGACTTGGGCTCTAGCTCCCATTCTGCTAATGCAGTATCTGATTTGGAAAAGTCACTTCTGGCCTCTGGCCCTCACATTCTGTAAAATGGGGTAGGGGTGTATGTGGAATGGGTATTTGGTGAAGTCCTATCTATCTTTAACATTCTGTGTTTTTTTTGTAGCCAGAGCATCAGCGTGAGACCTTTGTCAGATTAAACTTCTTGTAGCCGGGTACTTCTTTATTTGGTTTTGTCTCATCTTGTTATGTTTTGTTTGATTGAGACAAGGTCTTGATATATAGTTCAGGCTGGTCTTGAACTCACTATGTAGCTCAGGCTCGCCTCAAATGAGGTGATCCTCCTGCCTCAGCCTCCCAAGTGCTGGGGTTACTGTATAGATGTGCACCACCATGCCTACTGCAGCAGGGTACTTCTTGAAACTGCATTTTTGTAGCATATATTCATTCACTGTAGCAAAGTAAAAACATGGATACTGAAAACAAAATTTCCTAGAGTCATGTTTGCCCTCCAGGGAATGCCACATTCATCAATAAAGACAAGATCTTGAAAGCTGAGGCTTTCTTCCCCATTCTTTTCAAAAGTATGATTAAATTTTTTATGATTCTGTTATTGGAATCTTCTGGCTGGCTCACCAAAATGTTACAGGGTAGCTCCTTCTAAAAGTGGCTAGCCAATGAAATGTTACCAAGTCCTGGGTTTCTTACCTCTCCTTCTGGAGTTAAATTCCAGGTTCTTCTCATTTTGAACAAAGAAAGGAACGAAATGAGCAAGAAGTAGCGGCAAAGTTTATTTGAAAAAGTGAAAGTGAAGAGAGAGAAACTGGCTCTGCAGAGCAAGCTTGAAAGAAAACCCTAGAGAAACCAGGGAGGTTTATTATGTGGAAAGCCAAGCTAGCAAGCTCTTTTTGGCATCTGTGTCCCTTTATACTGTCCACATCTCGAGGAAACCCACGAGAACTTCTACATATGGGTCCTGAGAACAGTGCTAGGATCTCACTCCTCAGGCTGATGTCAGGTCTAAGAAATCCTATGGAAAGCCTGCTCTTGAGTTCTCATGAGAAGTCTATGTGCAGGGCTTTGGGAACTGTTTTGCACGTGTGTTCTGGAATCTTGTAATTCACAGGTCATGCCTATATCCCCATCCTGCTTTGCCATGCCCTAATCCATGTCAGTTCTATTTTATCTCCTTTGTTAGCTTACTAGCTATAACACTTTTTATTCTTTTAATGATATTTTAAATTTTAGAATATATATCTTTAACTTTCATAGTCTGCCTTTAAGTGGTACTATGCCATATACATATATGTATATCATAAAATAAATACACTTCCATTTCTCTCTCCTGCCTTTTATGCCATTGCTATCACACTATTTATTTATTTATTTATTTATTTATTTATTTATTTATTTATTTATTTATTTTCATGGTATGGGAGATTGAACCTAGGGCATTCACAATAAGCCATATATCCAGAATTTTTTTTTTGCTTTTTGAGAAAGAGTGTTGCTAAATTGGTAAATTGCCTAGGCTTGGCTGGAATTTGGAGTCTTTCTGCCTCAACCTCTGGAGAGTCCTGGGATTACAGACATGTGCCTCTGTGCCCAGAACACATTTTATCTTTACATGTGTTACAGCTTTATGTTACCTTGTAATTTTTGTTACTTATATCTCTTTCTTTTAAAGAGTGGTACCTAACCACTGAATTTGATTTGGTTCATGACCAATTTGGTTTGCAATTAGAATCATGGAAAAAATTAAGTTTGTGAAACGAGGTACCACTGTAATAAGCAATCTTTTTAAAAAAATTTTTATTTTATGAGATAGGATCTTGGTATGTAGTTCAGGCTGGCCTGGAATTCACTATGTAGCCTAGGCTGGTCTCTAATTCACAGAAGTCCTTTTGCTTCAGCCTCCATGCTGGGGTTCTAGTTAGTTTATTATTCTTCTCACTGAAGAACCATATAGCATTTGTTGACATACATGTCTCCTGGTAATGAAGTCTTTCACTTTTGTATGTTGGAAAAAACTTTATCTTGATTTTTTTTAAATGATGCTCTTCACTGATTATAGAATTCTCTCTTTCTTTTTGGTACTGGGAATCGAACTCATGACCTTGTGCTTGCCAAGCAGGCGCTGTGCTGCTGAGCTATATCCCTAGCCCTGATTATAGAATTCTCAATTCACAAATGTTTCCACAATTCAGATATGTTGCTATACTGTTTTCTCACTTGCATTGTTTCTAAAAATACATCTATTATAATCTTTATCTTAGTTCCTTTGTATGTAACATGGCTTTTTCCCTCTGCTGTCAATATTTTCTCTTTCTCACTATTTTGAAGAATAATTTGGCTCAGATCTCTCTCTCTCTCTCTCTCTCTCTCTCTTTCTCTCTCTCTCTCTCCCTCCCTCCCTCCCTCCCTCTCCCCCTCTTCTGAG